TCCTCCTCGATCTTACTATAAATCAGGATATCATCAAAATAAACTACAACAAATTTGCCAATAAAAAATTTCAGAACCTGATTCATAAGCCTCATGAAAATGCTTGGAGCATTGGAAAGTCCGAAAGGCATCACCAACCATTCGTACAACCCCTCCTTTGTTTTGAAAGCTGTCTTCCACTCATCTCCGGGCCGAATCCGAATCTGATGGTATCCATTCTTCAAATCCAGCTTCGAAAACCACTTAGCACCGTGCAACCTATCCAGCATGTCATCCAATCTTGGAATTGGAAACTTGTAACCTACGGTTATTTTATTAATAGCCCTACTATCTACACACATCCGCCAACTCCCATCTTTCTTAGGAGTCAACAAGGCCGGAATAGCACATGGGCTCATGCTATTCTGAATGTGTCCCTTTTGCAACAACTCCTCCATCTTCTCTTTTAGAATCTCGCTCTCTTTTGGACTCATCTTGTAGTGCGGTAAATTTGGCAGACTAGCACCAGGAATTAAGTCTATATGGTGCTGAATATCACGCATAGGCGGCAACCCATCTAGAATCTCTTCAGGCATCAGTTCGCTAAATTCCTTCAATAAAGGTTTAACCGATTCGGTGCTCCTCCACTTGTAATTCATGGTCTCATTGCTTGTTTCACGACCAGCACGTGAATTTGTCGAGTCTCCTTAACCTCAGCTTCAAATTTCCTCGTAAAGGTAAGGAAATTATTTTCAGCAGCTTGTTTTCCTTTGTTCTTTAGTGGCAGCAACGTATACTTCACTCCATTCTTCACGAGGTTATACTGATTGTTTCTTCCCGAATGCTGAGCATCTACGTCAAATTGCCACGGTCTCCCAAATAACACATGACATACATCCATGTCTACTACATCACAATACAGCTCATCATGATATTTACCGATGGAGAATGGAATTTTGCATCGTTCAGTCACATGAATGCTTTCCGCTCCAGATTTAATCCATCCTAACGTATAGGGATTAGGATGCTTCTCCACGGGTATCCCCAGCTTCTTCACTGCCTCATTCCCAATGATATTCTCCATACTTCCACTATCAATAACCACAGCAAAGATCTTTATCAGAATGGTGCACCTGGTTCGGAATAACTGATGGCGCTGCGAATCATCTTCTTGTTTTGGGGCCAACATCATTCTACGCACCACACAGTTTACTTGCTCCTCTTCTTCATCTTCAAAATCATCGTCCTCACCATCCGGCGCACAGCAATATCCATCTTCCTCCTCTTCTCTCGCTGTTACGTTTACGGTCTTTCTCGAGGGCATTCATTAGAACGGTGCCCAGGCGATTACACCGTAACACTTTATCGCATGGTTTAGTATAAAGGTTAGGGTTCGCAGTTTTCTGTGCTTGCATTCCCTTATCCCTCGGCTCGTTCATAGGGTGCTTTTCTACCGCCTTATCTTCCTGATTTCGCCCTGCGTTAAAACGATTATTGAAACTGCTCTTTTCTACCGAACTGCTCGAGCTGCTACCTCGATAATTTTCGTAGCCTCTTCTTCCCCTATCTTGCTGCATCAATTCTGCCTTCATCGCCATATTCTTGGCTTCAGTTAAATTTCGCAGAAACTACACTCCAATTTTATCTCGAATGAAGGGTTTCAAACCATCAAGATATCTGGACACATGCTGTCCCTCCGTCTCTGATAAATTATTCCGCTCTGCCAATCTCATAAATTCGGCCGTATACTCATGCACAGTCCGATTGCCCTGCTGGCAACGTTGGTATTGCTGGAACATAATCTGCTCATAGTCGGGTGGAAGGAATTCTTGCTTCAGCAGCCTCCTCAACCTAGTCCAAGTTCGAACTCTCTCTTTCCCTTCTCGTTCCATCCTATTCTGTAATCTTTCCCACCATGCAGACGCACCGCCCTTTAATCTACAGGCTACTAATCGTACCATTTTCTCACCAGGGGTCTCCATATAGTCGAAAAATCTATCTATATCAGCAAGCCAATCCAGAAATTCTTCTATGCCCAGACTACCATTAAAATAAGGGATATCGACTTTCAATTTAAAGTCGTTACCTTCACGATCGTCATAGCGTCGTCTTCCATCTCTCCGATCATATCCTCTTTGAAATCCTCCATGACGACGTCTGCCGCCATAATCAGCACGTTCCTCATCAAAATTTTCAGTTTCTTCTTCTTCCGAACTCTCTGAAAACAGAGGGTTATTCTGCCTGCGGACAGGAACAGGCCTATCAACAGGATCACCGCGAGCAAGATCTGCACCCGGCCTTCTGTCGTTCCGCCGATTCCGGTTCACATCAACGCCGAGACCTTCGAATCGTTCTGTTAACTCGTCAAATCGTTCTTCGAAACGACGAAGACTTTGATCGAATCGTTGATCCAAGCGTTCCATTAAACGCTGCTCCAAACGTTGCAGCGTGTCGTCCCCAAGGGTTGGGGCTCCAGTCTCCTGAGCATCGTCACGAAGACCACCGCCAGTCGCCATAGGCTTTGATACCACCTGACGCAGCGTTCCGCGAATAATTCAAGCAAAATCTTGCTTAGAGAGAAAAATCTCGAAATTCAATATTGATGATAAGAATGTTCTGTCTTCAAAACAACCCTAAACACCCTTTTATAGGGGTTAAACCTAATTACAATAGGAAACTTAATCATAATAGGAAAGTTACCTAATCTAAATTGGAAACCTAATCATAATAAGAAAGTTACCTAATCTGAATTGGAAACCTAATCATAATAGGAAAGTTACCTAATCTAAATTGGAAAGCGTAAAACATTAAAATTAGGAAACTGCCTTTTTAAATTAACTCATAAAAAATATCCGATGTCGTCGATCGGGTCCACCGGTTCTAGTCACATCACTGTTTTGCCTTCCGTTTGGACTTCTGCCTATCCAATCGGTCCAGAAACGCACCACTAATAGATTCCGCATCAGAAGAAGAAGGGAGCCCGCTTCCTGATGAACGAGGAGCCATCGGTCCAACACGTGATATCCATACATGGTCAATATCATTTACATATTGAAAAATGAATCGCATCGGTAACTTTCCTAATGAACTGATTTCTGTGAGCTGCAATTACTAATTTGATCCAGTCCCTCCAATGCCTGGACAAAAAATGTGGTTTTTGTAACGACCCGGTCCGACGAGGGCGGGGAGTGATCGCCGGGGCCAGAGGGCCTGGACAAGGAGCGGCTCCTGGCAGGCTTCTAGGATGGCAAGGGAGGCATGTCTCTTGTCCCACATCGCCTAGGGGGAGAGTCCTGGGATTGCTTATAAGGCTTTGGGTGGCCTATCCTGCGTAACGCGTTTTAAAGCCGTGAGGGTCAGTGGGCCCAAAGCGGACAATATTACACAAGGAGTGGCGCAGCGGAAGCGTGGTGAGGACGCGTTTTAAAGCCGTGAGGGTCAGTGGGCCCAAAGCGGACAATATTACACAGTGTAGACATCGGGTCCTTACAAATGGTATCAGAGCCGACTCCCGACCACGTGTGGGGCCACAGCGAGGACGCTGTGCTCGAAGGAGGGGAGAATGTAACAACCCGGTCCGACGAGGGCGGGGAGTGGTCGCCGGGGCCAGAGGGCCTGGACAAGAAGCGGCTCCTGGCAGGCTTCTAGGATGGCAAGGGGGGCATGTCTCTTGTCCCACATCGCCTAGGAGGGGAGTCCTGAGATTGCTTATAAGGCTTTGGGTGGCCTATCCTGTGTAACGCGTTTTAAAGCCGTGAGGGTCAGTGGACCCAAAGCGGACAATATTACACAGTGTAGACCCCAGGTCCTTACAGTTTTTACACCATATAACCAAGAAACAAAGGACATATCTCCATCGCCAAGAAGCTTTATCGTCAGTGTTCACTCCGTTTTTTCGGCTATAGAAGTAACATGGGCCACGCCATTCGCAGACTCGCTTGTGGTATTATTCTGTGTTCTCGACCTCCATTATCTCGCTGCGTTTCTAGTGACGAAGCTCGTCTACCTCGGACCAATGGCTCTCAAATGGTGTCGAGTGACGGCATCTCTATAGTATTAAATCCAAACATGCTGCGGCGGAATGTCAAACTTCTCGTGGTAAAGCTCAAAGAAAATTGTCACGCTGATCCTCTGACTTATCTCTCCCTGCCCTTTCTGTTTTCTTTTGCTTTGGGGCCTAAATTGAGTTTGTTCTGGAGGTATCTGAAAAATCACAAGGAAGAGGACTCAAAAGGACGGACAAGATCTGGGTTTGGCGGCTCATGGGTCCAAAGAGGCCAACCCATCATTTGGAAGGGCTTGGACAAAAATGGTTTTCCATGTTGGAGTGGCCCAAAGATGAAACCATTATCCACTCAGAAGAAGTCGGTCATCTTTTCTCCCTCTTCCGGCCACAAGAAGGGGTTAAAGGAAGCATTAACAATGGGAATGTGTTTACTTCCCTAGACATTTCCTAGAAAAAAGATAGACACATCTTTGGCAGATAGAACTTGCCTGTTTGTCGCCTTTTTAGTGCCAAAGCGATGCATACTAGTTGATCTCGACGATCCCAATATAGTAATCCACCGTAGATGCTCTCTAATCCTAGGGACCTTCGCTTTGCCACCTTAATCGTCAGCTCCTTGCTATAAGAAAACAAGCAAGCGAGTCCAAGAAGTTGTTGCTTTTGTCTTGGTTTACATTAGTCCTCGAACAAATATCTTCTTCTTCCACCTGTTATAAAAATAAATGAGGTTTTCGTCGGGCTTACCGAGTGTAGTTCTTGTTCTTGTCATTATAGTTTATCAAATATTCGGAGTATATCTTGTCAGGGATATTTGATTGCTGCTATGTGCTGTGTTTTTGGTGTCGACCGTCTTCTGGCTCACTGTTCTTAGTATTTAAACAGCACATTGACAAATTTGAATTTGGCTCCGGCAACCATCTTTTTGGCTCATTGTTCTCCAATACCTTGACTATTCGAGTTTGGCTCTCTTCAGCTTTGTGATCAATATAGAAGACACGTAGTGGTTGCTTTTGGGATGGAGCTTTCAGGGAAATCTGGTGGCAGAGCGGGGTTTCTTTGGCTTTCCTTCTGCATCTTTCTCACACTTTCCTGCGCCAAGGGTGAAAGTCGCGCTTCTTTCATCTTTCTTCTAAAAACTACCATGAAAAACATTTAGGACTGCCCTGTGTGATATTCTAAAATCCTGTCTTGTCTTCTGCTTTTTTTAGTGATTTCAGATCCGCTAAAGAACGTCAATTTGAGTCCGTTCCAGCAGTGGATTAGCGCGTATGAATGCCTGAATAAGGTACTGTTTGTTTTCTATTCCGTGTCGAATTGCGATTACCCTCTTAATGTGTTCTTGTTAATTCGATGTATGTGATGCAAAGTTGCGGGTTAATGTGAATAGACATCGCCCACATGCGCGGCCAATGGGCTGAATTTGACAGGAATCATCCATGTGACCGGGAGCGAAGTGACAGACTATTGCAACGGATGCGCGCAGTGGACCAAGGACGTGCTCACCTGCATCCATTTGGTTAAGAGGGACTTCTGGTTTGCCAACAACGCCACCGTCAAGCTAATCAATGAGACCATCAGCCATGGCTGTGCCACGAATTCAGGTAAGATTTTCACGAAGAGGGAAAACAAACGAAAGGCATCATTCGAATTTCTGCAGATAATTCAGACCAGGAGAGCAACAATTCACAATTTGAATTTGCAGATATCGTCATGTTGGGCGTGAAAAAAAGCGGCGGGATAAGGAATTACAGCAGGACTTACATGGCCTTGTTCTCGGCTTTGATCTTGGCAATTTTCTTGTTCAGCACCTGAGGATGAGGAGAGAAGACAAGCATACCAGGAGTCAATAAAAATAGATTGCCCTTACACAAATAAGGAAGCCATAATACCCACTCCGTTTATATTCAAGCAAATGACAGACATACGTGATATTAAATAAACTAAAGAGAGAAATCAGATCGATGCAACATCTTTCTTCGTCCTGCTTTCAATTTTTGTTCACCATCGCGAGTTTACTTCTTGTATCAGTACGAAATCGGGTGCAACTATATAGCAGTCGGTGGTAGTCATTGTGCAATGCTCTCCCTTACCGACTGCTATCAACTCGCAATACTAAAAATAGCAGCGGAGTGCTTTTTATCGCAACTGAAGTTTATTCCACTGTCTAACTCTTAAAGAACTACTGTTTTGAGGTGATGGTTGTAACATTGAAACCTGTATAGTTCCCGGTCGATAAGACCTTACGATGCAAATACTAAGCATGGCATCAAACAACACCAATGTCAACATATGAGTCTCAGAAGACCAACCCGAGGACAAGAATTATTCCGCAATATCGGCCAGCAAGGCAGAAACTTTTTTGACAGAATCGGAGTTATCATAATCGTAATCTAGTCTCGAGTGATAGAGAACATTTACTTCTTAGATAGTAACTAGCAGCCTAAAATCCTTACACTCAAGACTCAGGAGTTATATCGGAAGCACTTGCTTTCGGAGCTCAGATTTTCATCATCGGAACAGATTTGAGGTAGGAAACTGCATTTGTCGGGAAAGTTACGGAATTGCAGTCTCCCTATTTTCAGAGAACACAACTTCAACATGAGGGACAGTCTCTTGGCACCAATATGCCTTATCATCTTCTCTTTTCCCAGCTTTTACGGCAAAAAAAAAAATGATCGAAAAATGAGCTAGACATATTTTCAGGTTCAACCAACAATAAGAGACATTGACAGTTTGGATGTACCGACACGGCAACACAAGTTAGCGAAAATTACATTATTGAAAGAGACTGTTTAGGATAGGACCTCATAACAAGACTTTTTATCAACCTTCATGGTAATCCCGCATCCGAAGTATCGTCAAGATATGGCTTGTGTTGTCTCGAGATTCCTCTGAGAGCTAATTTAGATTAGAAAGATTAAATATTTCAAAACGACACAGCCTTTCTTTTACATGTTTCCCCGGATCTAAATGCGTGAGAGTGGATTGAGGGCGGAGTTTATGTTAGCCTTTGTTCTTGATATCTACAAACACGAAGATCTGGAAAGAACAAAAGGATCAGAAACCCTGATTCCACCTTTGGGCCAGGTTTCATTTGATCTGTAAAAAGCTATGCTACTTTAAATCACATAAGTGAAAAAATACTCAGGTTCCGAAAATAGAATCAATCCATTCCTCTTGACAGGCTCTAATTGCCCTTTATTAGGATTGTACTGGAAACAGCGCGACGGGTTGTCTAGATTTGGCCAGCGATGAGGAATCTCCACCCAACTGAGAAACGATAACGCAACATACGACGAGATTCATAGGTAGCGGAAACCTGAGAACGGGGGACATTCACTTGAAGGCAAAAACCCTAATGCTGCACCGGGGCTCCAAACCGATATCGACCTCAGCTTGCTTGATGTCGGTGCACCCTATTACGAACGGCAGCCCCTGCAACTTGAACCTTCCGAAGTTAAGTGCTAATGTCCCGTTCAAAACCACGTCGAGAACCATCACTCTTTCCTTGAAGTCTGATTGCAGATCTGACCCGTCCTCCTTGGGGATTACAGTGCGGGTGACTTGAGTTGCAAGTTTCAGCATTGTCTGGTTCCTCGGCTCCTGGAAGAACCCGGAAACGTGCGCCTGCCCTATCCTGATTTCCTCCAGAGAAACTTCTGCGGTCATCGACTTGTACGAGATCCCAATCTTCTCGTTTTTGTTGGTGACGTTGAGGATCACCTCGACGCCTGTGTCCAGCAGGGTATCCTGCTTCGACGAATTGGCCAAGCGCATGCCCGGGAAGGAGAGCCTCTGGACCCGTACCTCAGGCAGGTCGGACTTGATGAATGACACGAACCAGACTCCAAGGACGAGGATGCCAAGGACCACAGCAAGCACGCCGAGGCATGACCAGGCGCAGCAGACGAAGCAGCATGACCCACAGTTGCACCTGCAGCAGCGTCTCGACTTCCTCGGGTAGTTACCCGGGATCGAAGAGCACTCGGAGACCTCCGAGAAGGCAACATGCCGGGTTTGCTTCGGCTTTGCATGCGGGGGGTGGCCACTTACGGCTCGCAGCGGCGGCGTCTCGATATCCGCCATCGGACAGAGAGACTCCTACGCACTGTTGGGGAGAGGAGGTACCTTCCAATGCAAGATTGAAAGCCTCTCATTGGAGGTCCTCGGACCAAAATCTGTTAAGAAGTTTCCTTGTTCTGAAACTTTCGTGAGGTGGACCGCAAGAATAGAGAAGGTGATCAAAGTATGATTGGCGATGACACGCCCCGATGGTTATTTTGGCAACGACAATCTTGCAACTGGTGAAAGCTAGACAGGTAATTTCTCCATTCGACCACTATAATAGTAGTGGCATTCATAGATTATTGCACTAATTAGAGACCATTCTTCTTCTAATGTCCACATTTAGTAGGATTCATTTGTGTTGAGATGCAATCTGAAAACACGACACGAACACGAATGAATCGAGGCATGAGAGAACGTGGGAAATCCGTTCACGAGTTGGGCGATATGATCGACCCGCAAATTGACACGGCTAGGGAACAAAAACTTTCATGTGGATTAACCATTCAATTGGATTAAAATTACACGCTTTATATGTCTTTCTAAAAGAAATTCTCCAAAACACCTCTCCCTAGAGGTTGCGGGCCCTAAAAAAATTATGAGCCGTGGGAATTGAGAGATAGTGACACGTGACAGACACGTCATCGGCTAGAAATCACAAATCGAAATAAGAGTGGATCGGTAGAAACCACGACACCCTCTCGATCGCTTTCTTCGCGGCATCTTGATTTTAATGACGAGTATCTCGGATAATAAATGAGCTATGAGCAATGTTCTAATGCGAAACGTACCTTTCCCGTGTTCGAGTTTCTTGTGATTCGTGTGATGCCGTTACACTTTTGCTCATTTAACATAATGTGCTCCGAGTATATTAAGTTTCTCATTTCATATTAATTCTAAGAGTAAGGAAAACAGTATATCTACTATGCATAATAATATTCACTACAAAAAAACTGGATTTTTGCCACGAAAATTTGCGAATAAAATTTTTTCGTCGCAAATTTGCGACAAATTTTCCAACGAAAAGTAAAATTCGTCGGAAATTAAGACGAAAAATTTTTCGTCAGCAAAATTCGTTGGAAATTTCCAACGAAAAATTTTTCGTTGCAAAATTCGTTGGAAATTAGCGACGAAAAATTTTTCGTTGGAAATTTCCAACAATTTGCGACGAAAAATTTTTCGTCAAAATTTCCAACGAATTTTACGACAATTCAAAAAACCGGTATTGTTCGGCATTTTTTAAATTCGTTGGAAATTTCCAACGAATTTTCCCACGAATTTCAATTTTCAGGCAATTATTTTAGTGTGTACAATTTTCGTTGCAAAATTCGTGGGAAAATTCCACGAATTTTGCAACGAAAACCCTACTCCTTCCTTATTCAACATTTTCGCTCATTATTCCGTAACGATTCTCAATTTCCACATTCTCTCTCTCTCTCTCTCTCTCTCTCTCTCTCTCTCTCTCTCTCTCTCTCTCTCTCTCTCTCTCTCTCTCTCTCTCTCTCTCTCTCTCTCTCTCTGCGATCGACGCCTCCACCGCTCCACCGCGTCCAGAGTCTTGGTCGGGCGCACTCGCTAAGGCACTGCTCCACCGCCGGGCCCAAGCTCCCCCCGCCGCCGCCTAGCATCTGGCCGATGGAGGGGGCGGTGTCCGTCGCATTCTCGGCGGCGAGGCCGAGCACGACCACCGTGAGCCAGGCCCTCGCCATGGCGGGCGAGCTCGAGCTCGCCCAGATCTGGGCGAGTTCTGGGCGACCTCGAGCTCGCCGACGACAAGGCTGGGCCTCGCCGGCCATGGCGAGGGCCGAGCTCGCCATGGCCGACGAGCTCGAGGTCGCCCAGAACTCGGTTAGATCTGGGCGACCTCGAACTCGCCCAGAACGCTCGCCATGGCCGGCAAGCTTGGGCGACCTCGAGCTCGCCGGCGACGAGGCTGGCCCTCGCCGGCCATGGCGAGGGCCGAGCTCGCCATGGCCGGCGAGCTCGCCGGCGGCGAGGCTGGCCCTCGCCCACACAATTTTTGTCACGACGAAACTAATTTTGCCACGATTTTTCGACCAAAAAAAAATTTCGTTGGATTTCCAAATTTTTTGTTGGAAAAAAGTTATTTTTTTGTAGTGTTTCCAACGAATTTAGCCACGAATTTTCCAACGAATTTTCCAAAGAAAAAAATTTCGTCGCAAATTTCCAACAAAAATTGAAATTTTTCGTTGGAAAAATTTGCGACGAAGAATTACTGACGAATTTTTTTTCGTTGGAAAATTCGTTGGAAATTCGTTTTCCAACGAATTTTTCCCAATTTTTCGTTGGAAATTTCGTTGAAAAAAAGATATTTTTTTGTAGTGATTTCACAAATTATACCTGGCGGTTCTTTATTTTTCAAAAAAATCGGGTCTATTCCCATCTTGATCTTGAATGCATTCTTTGGGGTGTGCTCATGTCCATCTTCTTCAGTGGGCCGTGTTAGTTTGGTGACCCACTTGCTTTGCAGCAATGTTGTTGAGCAATGGCCCATGTTTCGGTTCACCCGTCGCTTGCGTTTAATTATTAGCCTCCGTATATTTAGCGAAAAATGAATAATTTAGAAAATATCTTTTCAAAAACGATCACTCATGTCACAGAAAATTTGCCAAGAAGTCATAAACCTTTTAATTATACCAATTGATTCATAACCTTTTTCACGTTTTACCAATTAATTGGCCGGAAATTGCTAACGTGGACTTTGGCCGTCCTACGTGGACTTTGGTCGTCTTACGTGGCACAGCCGATGCTGATGTAAACAATTTTTGCAATCTTTTTTAAATTCAAAAATTTTAATATTTTTTCTTTTTTCTTTTTCTTGTTCCTTCTTCCTCTACCAGTCATTATGCTCGCTCGGCCGACCTCGCCAATGAGGCTCCACCTCTCCAGATCCTGACAAGCTCGAGCCTTGCATGAAGCCGGCAAGGTAGGCCCTCACCTCTGGCCGATCACTAGCCATGGCAACCGACAGAGGTATAAGGAAAAAGAAAAAGAAAGAAGCGAAAAGAAAAATAAAAAATAAAATTTATTTTAAATTTTAATTTTTCTAAAATTATAAAAAAAATTGTCCACGTTAGTCCCGGGCGTCTTACGTGGCACTATCGTCGTCCACATCAGCGATTTCTGGCTAAAATTGACTGAATTGACTCAATTGGCAAAACGTGAAGATATTTATGACTTAATTAGCACAATTGAAAGATTTAGAACTGAATTGGCGCAAAAGTAATAGATTTAGGATTTTTTTGGTGATTTCCCCCTCATATCACTTACGAAAATGAATGAGCAAATTTTTTTTGGTGATTTCTCTCTCATATAACTTTCATCACTCGCGAAAGTGGTTAGACATGAATTGTTATCTATAATGAAAATATTCTTCATTGGCTAATTATTTTAAGCAATACCAACACTCATTTTAGAAAAACTTTATTTAAATTATTCATTTTTCGATGAACAAATCTAGCCTTAACATAATCAATAAATAATGATGTGTTCCACCAACTCTGTTGGTGAAGTCAAAGATAGAGAAATGGGAAGACTGTTCTCGACCCACGTGCTCGTTGCCAAAAGCTTGAAAGAAATCTAATTAGCAGTTGCTAATTACTTGTCAAAGTTAATCACCTCACCACTGAAAAGATAAAGGGGTTTACTTGTCAAAGTCACAGACCCACCCACAGCAAGTTTTCCTCGTTAAATAATGAGAAAACCAAAACTTGTTTGCTCGGCAAAAGCGTGGGATTGCTTGGTAATGGTGATCTCGATCGGTTTGACTTTGACATTGGACAAGTCATTAGATAATCTGCTCCAAGTCTCCTTGGTTGGTACCAAAAAATAGGTTGTGTTCGTGCATGATTAAGCCAAGTGGCCCAACCCAAAGAATAAACAATCGCATCGCGAGGCAATTTTTTCGAAACGATCGTTGTGTTTGTCGCGTGATTTTTTGCACGCAATTAGCGAGAATTCCATGAATTATTTTCGTTACTTCGAGATGGAAGCTATGGTTGGAGCATAACACGGGCACTAGTATCAGTTTGCGGTGGAGACTGGTGCGGTGCAATGTTTGAGAAAAAATTGACATGAATCATGTAGGAATTGATGGAAGACCTGTTGAGTGGAAGGAAAAGTCAATCCACCAATGTCAATTGAATGTAGGGAGTCCATTATTGACTTATGGCCTTGTGGGGGTGTTTATATTGTGTTGATGAGGAGTTAGGCCGTATCCATTATTGTCGAAATAAATGATGGTAGGAGTGTCATGTCTCGTGTCGAGACAACGCTCGAGCCCTGAAATATTCATTTTGTTCATTCGAATGCAAAAACTTTTTGAAATTTGTCTATTTAAGTTTTTGGGATAAATACACTGGAGGTCCCAAAATTTATCACGAAAGTGTAATTAGGTATTAAAACTTTTAAAAAGTATAATCAAATCCAAAATATTGTCATAAAAGTGCAATCGACACATCAATGTTTCAAAAGATATAATCGAGTCCTAAAATTTATCACGAAAAGGCAATCGACTCCTAAAAATTTAAAAAGTGCAATCAATGGAATGATTTGATTAGACCAATTTGATAAATTTTAGAATTTAATTGCATTTTTAAAAAATTTTAGAACTCGATTGCGCTTTCGTGATAAGTTTTAAGACTTAATTGCACTTTTTTTTAAAAGTATGAGAACGCAATTGCACTTCCTAGATAAATTTTAAAACTTTCAATACACTTATCCCTAAGTCTTTTATTTACTTTGTCGGTTTCGAACGGACGAAAAACCAACATCGCTTGTTTACAAGATTTTCTCGATCCTTTACGACCGCCGAGCAACATTGATGTTGGTGTCGAAATCTTCTTGCCGAGGCGGCTACGGTCGCCCTCGGTTGCAAACTAATCCCACTATCTTCTCTATCTCCTCGAGTCTCCTTTCCGTGGTATTTTTCCTTAAAATCAACTTTTTTATGATGTGGAGCCAAGATGAGGTCATCTCACCATCATGTATGCATAACAAAAAGAGGCAAATCGACCAAAAGAAAAAATCTTTGCATGACGTTTTCCACCTTCAACTTTAACAGTGCCAGCGAAGTCTTCAAATGCATTTCACATGCAAATTTTAGGACATAAATACTCTAAAAAATTGTA